ATGCTTGGGTTCCTGCCACCCATGTGCGAGACCCAAATGAAGCCCCTGGCCTAGGTTCAGCCTGACCCTGGCAACTGCAACCATTTGATGAGTGACCCAGTTGTTGGACAATTATCTCTCTATGATTATGTGTCTGTTTCTCCCAGTCCTTCAGAAAATTCTTTACATAAATAAATAAATAAGTAAGTAAGTAAACCAACACCATGAGCTTATATTTGTCTAAATTATAGCAATTTTACGTTTTCACAAATTGCTGCATTTAGTATTCACAATAGTCCCGGCTAAAGCAAATATTTCTGTTCCCATTTGATAAATTTAAGAGAATTTGTGCATAGGACAAAAAGATGGTCAGAGTAGCGACAGCAAAAGTGGACAGAAAGAAGTGGGAGAAAATGGAGTGAGAGAAAAGGGCACAAGTCAGAAGGCAAACACAGAATTAATTTCAACTACAATGGGAAAGAATTGAAGAATTCTAAGCAAAAGTCATAAAACTTGATTTACATATTTTTCCATCCTCCCTTGACTTATATGCTAAAAACAAGTTAGTAATCCATTTGCAGTCGTATAAGCAATAGCTGAAAAATGATTTACATTAGATCTAGGGCCTGGTGGTGTGGCCTAGCAGCTAAAGTCCTTGCCCGGGATCCCATATGGGCGCAGGTTCTAATTCTGGTAGCTCCACTTCCCATCCAGCTCCCTGCTGGTGGCCTGGAAAGGCAGTCGAGGATGGCCCAAAGCTTTGGGACCCTGCACCCACATGGGAGACCTGGAAGAGCTCCTGGCTCCTGGCTTCGGATTGGCACAGCACCAGCCATTGCAGTTACTTGGGGAGTGAACCATCAGAAAAAAGTTCTTCCTCTCTGTATATCTGACTTTGTAATAAAAATAAATAAATCTTTAAATATATATATGTATATAATTAAATTAGATCTGCATCTAGTAGATGAAGTAGAAAAGGTCAGAATTCGTCAGACTTGAGATGATTCTGGAACTTAAGATGATTAAGATTTCCTGGCAAAACTAAATAAAGAATCAAGAACACTTCCCAGATTTTTATTTTTATGACATTTAGTTTTATGTGTTAGCTTGAACGGGCTACAGGGTGTCCAGGCATTTGGACAAACAGAATTCTGCATGTCCAAGAGGGTGATGTGGGGATGTGGGATGTGATTAAGAGTTGAGTTGGTAGATTATTTGCCTTAGGAAGTGAAGCAACCCTCATACAACCAGGTGGAGCCCTGACTCCAACGAGAAGCCTGATATTCGCTCCAGTGACAGGGATTCCTCTGACTGATGGCCTTGAGCATCTCTCCCAGTCTTTGGACTCCTACTGAAACCTTAGCTCTCTTCCTGCCTCTAGAACCTCCTCGAGCTCCAGGCCAGAACATATGCCATGGACACTCCTGATTCTCTCACTCAGATTCAAACTAAACGATCAGCTCTCTTGGGTCTCCACTTTGCTGAGCACAGATCTTGGGACTTTTAGTCTCCATAACTGCAGGAGTCAAGTCAACATATACATTATATCTATATTTTATGCCTTTTACACTTACACATATAAACATACTGCTTTACTAAAATGGGGAAGAGAATACAGGGAAGAACTACAGAGAAGTTATGACCAAAGGGGAAAGTAACATCAATTCTATCTCAGCCAGGCTAAGTCTGAGATGCCTGGGGGACTCTCCAGTAGAAACATCAACTACAAATGTAAACATCAACTACAAAGGACAGAAGTCTTTGAGTACAGAGAAATATCTGGACTAGAGACTCACATTTCAGTCATTAACAAATCCAAGATTTTGAATCTATGAGAATGGATTAATTATAAAGAAATAAAATATAAAATAAGTCCTTATTTTGCACTAACTATATTTCAAGAGCTCAAGAGCCACAAATAGATAACAGATACTATATTAGACAATTACAAATAATTTTCTACACCATAGGAGGTTCTGTGGGGCAGCACAGAACTAAACAAATTTCTGAAAAGAGAAGTTAAGGAGAGGTTTTAAGTAATACAGGAGGTAAAAACAAATAAACCATTTAGAAAAGAAGTCAAAAGATATCTCAGGGCCAGTACCAAGGCAGAGTTGGTTAAGCCTGCATCATCAGCATCCCATACGGGCACCAGTTTGAACTCTGGCTGCTCCACTTCTGATCCAGGTCACTGCTAATATGTCTGGGAAGGCAGCAAAGGATGGAGCCCAATTACTTGGGCTCCTGCACCCCTCTAGCAGACCTGGAAGAAAATGTACCCCCCTGGATTCGGACTAGTCCATCTCTGGCCATGTGTCATCTGGGGAATGGACCAACAGATGGAAGATCTCTCTCTCTTTTGTTCTCTATAAATCCACCTTTCGAATAAAAATCAATCTCTTTTTTTTCAGATATTGTTCCAAATAAAATAGACAACTAAATTAATCCAGATGCTTATTAACAGTCAAGTTGGACAAGAAAAGAGAACTGGACTGCTGTCTTTCACAAGATGCACATAATTAGTGACCTTGAAATGAACCACTGCAAAAAGAGATGAAAACAATAACAAAAAAGTAGAAACAACCTAAACAAAATAGGATAAGAGAATACAAGTGAGGGAAAAAAGAAGATACCAACTGTATAGAAATTTTTAACGAAATGCTTCTTGGAAGAAGAAGACAAAGAGAAATAGCAGGTAATTTAAAGGGAATACAGGGTTACAGTAAATTTCTCTCCCCACAGACAAGTATATTGAGCAAAATTTCATATCAATATAAGTAACCCAATAGCAACAGATGAAAGAGATTATAACTAGAGGAAGTAACAGCAAAAGTCTATTTTGAGGTGGTCATAGCATTTAGAATCCAGAATATAAATTAAAATTAGCCATAGATGTGCTCAAATTCAGTCTTCCAGAATATCATGAAAGGTAAAAACAACCTGAATGTAGATGCAACTGACCTATATAGCTGGTGGTGAGGGTAGTACTCATTTATTTACATCTATAAATAATACCATTAATTATTAATATCATAATTACTTTTGGCATTACAGAAGTAATATCATAAATTATGAGGGGGCAGAAAAATAGGATTTTGGTACATTTGCTTGTGACATTTGATTTGGTAAACGACTTTCACTTGGTTTGATTTTTTTTCTTTTTTTTTTTTTGTTGAGCAAACAGATATTAGGGTATAAAGAAAAATGATATCAATTCTCTCAAAGATTAAAAAAGTGAATTCACTAACGAACAGAAACAGCATCATATGACAGTGCTGCATGCACACTTGGTACCTGCAATTAGATTAAATCAGAGCTGTATGGCTTTTCCTCTAAAAAATGTATTTGTTTTGATGAGATACACAAATGGATTTAGAGATTTAGCCAGAGTAGTGTTTTATTGGTCATATATTAAGCACAAAGGTGTTTAAAAAGACAAGGCTTGCCAGATAAGTAGGATGGAAATGAGGGACAAAGGAGTCAAGGTGATCTGTAAGGAAATGGTCATGAGCTAGACCACAAGACCAGAACTGGGCAAAAGCAAGAGCAGCATACAAGTAACACACTTATACCAGACTTACGGGAATCTGAAGTTAAGCAAGCAAAATATTTTTTAAGGCAAATGACACTGAGGTGATATAACTGACAATCTAGTATTTTTACATTTTATAAAATATAATGTTAAGATTCTTTTCTAAGTATGAGAATACACTGTGTTTACACATTTTTTAAAAGTCTACTAGGGACAGATATATCTGAGACACATTCAAAATAGCACAGGAGGTAAATAAAACTATGTGGAGATAAAAATGAAACAAGGGTAGCCATGAACTGGTAAGTTGAAGTTAGATGACAGTTCTTCACAGGTGTTACAGATTTCAGCCCACTTTTGTACATTTTTAAATTTTCAATAAAATTTAAAACAAGAGTAAAAAAGCAGGCCAACATGTTCACTGGAAATTAGATTCTTATTTCTCTGGTCAGGATTTTTTTTTAAGATTTATTTATTTTTATTACAAAGTCAGATATACAAAGAGGAGGAGAGACAGAAAGAAAGGTCTTCCATCCAATGATTCACTTCCCAAGTGACCACAACGGCCGGTTCTGTGCTGATCCGAAGCCGGGAGTCAGGAGCTCTTCCAGGTCTCCCACGTGGGTGCAGGGTCCCAAGGCCTTGGGCTGTCCTCTACTGCTTTCCCAGGCCACAAGCAGGGAGCTGACTGGGAAGTGGAGCTGCCAGGATGAGAACCTGCACCCATATAGGATCCCGGTGTGTTCAAGGCAAGGACTTTAGATACTAGGCCACTTGGCCGGGCCCTCTGGTCAGTTTTAAAACCTGAAAATATTGGGCTGGGCAATGCAGCCTAATGGCTGCAGTCCTCACCTTGCATGTGAGCACCGGTTAGTGTCCCAGTTGCTCCACTTCCCATCCAGCTCCCTGTTTGTGGCCTGGAAAAGCAGTTGAGGATGGCCAAAATCCTTGGGACCTTACACCTGCAAGGGACACCCAGAAAAAGCTCCTGGCTCCTGGCTTTAGATCGGCTCAGCTCTGGCCACTGTAGCCACTTGGGGAGTGAAACAACAGGTTGAAGATCTGTCTCTCCCTCTCTGTAAATCTGACTTTCCAATAAAAATAAGTATTTTTAAAAGTCATTGCTTATTTAAAAACAAAACCTGAGACTCTTTAAACCTTATATGCATAATATGTAAAACTATCATAATTTACATATTTCAATTAATACAAAAGTCAAAGGGCTGCTGTGTTCAAAACAACGGGAGAATTACTAAATTTTAAAAACTCAGTGTTATTTTATTCTACTAACAATGTCCTCTACAAATATTAGTTCAACTAATATGATTTCTCTGTATATAAGGAAATATTTTATTTTGCATAAATAAAATTCTAAACAAGAAATTAACGGTCAAAATAGAACCATCTTGATTATTAACAATGTCATTCCAAACTCACAAATTGCATCACAAATTGACAGATTTTTTTTTAAAAACTGATAATAACTTACTATTTCTTTCTGTTCTCTTGGAAAAGAAGAAAATAAGGACTGTTCTTATGCTCCAGATGCTAATAGGGAAAGAAAATTCAGAAACAAAAGCCATGATTAGGATAGTTGAATTAGAAATCATATAAAATGAAGACAAACATATAATTCTAAGTAGTTATGTATACTGTTTCTCTTTATACATCAAAAAAAAAATTTTTTTTAAAGACTTTTTCTAATCAAAGCATCAGAACTCAATCACCTGTGCTTTCAAAGAAAAGAAAGAAAAACTCATTTAGAAATGTCTAATTCTATGTACTCTGTTTTCAAGGTTGGGGGAAAGGAGTGAAGATGAGGAATTACATTATGAAAGACCAGGGGAAGGCACAGCAGCTAACGGACTGCTTAAAAGGCTGGCATCCCAAATCAGAGCCCGAGTTCAAAACCCAATTTCAACATTCATGTTCACACACACCACGAGAGGCAGCAGGGGACAGCTCTAGCCTTGAGCATCTGCCACCCACGGAGAAGCCTCCAAGGCCCCAGCTCCCAGCCTCAGAAGGGCCCAGCCACAACTACGGCAGGCATTTGCATAGTGAATCAGCAAGTGTTATCTCTGTATCTCTCTCCATGCCTTTCAAGATATTTCTTTTCTAATTTCAAAATAAATAAATTTTTTATAAATTCTTTTTTTAAAATGATTTATTTAGTTTTGATGGAAAGTCAGATTTACAGAGAGGAGGAGAGACAGAAAGATCGCTGTCTGCTGATTCACTCCACAAGCAGCCACAAGGACCAGAGCTGAGCTGATCCTAAGCCAGGAGCCAGGACCCTCCCCATGGTCTCCTATGTGAGTGCACGGGTGCCAAGGCTTTGGGTCACCCTTTACTGCTTTCCCAGGCCACAAGCAGGGAGCTGACTGGGAAATGGGGCTGCCAGGACATGAACTAGCATCCATACAGGATCCCAGCACATGCAAGACAATGACTTTAGCCATTAGGGAAAGGCCCAATAAATTAATAATTTTAGGAGCCATACAAACACATACTTGCTGTTTAAAAGTAATTCTTAGATTATAACACTATTACAACAAATCATAATAGCTAGAAAAAAAAAACACAAAAGATCACCACATATCAAGATCTGTGGCATAAAACTAAAGTAATGGTCAGAAAATATCACAAAATTAAATATGTATACAGTGCATTTTGCTAATTAAAAAAAGCATATAAAGCATTCAAATTTAAGTTAAAAGAAAGCCTAGGAGAACAATAAAATTAATTTTAAAAAGTAACAACTTTGAAAAGCAGATTTCTTATAGAGAAAAAAATTTAAGCTACAAAATAATAAAGAGAATATACAGAGAACAAGTATACAAAGAAATATGGAAGCAATAATCATGGATACATTATATATATGTATCTAACATATATTCAGATATACTATCTAAATAAATTTTTAAAGATTAGTTAACTATATATACTCATCTAAAACTAAATACACTCATAACTTTTAGCAACAGTAACTGTGGAAGAAACAGAAAGACTAAAAGAATAGCTATTATTGGATATTTTTTCTTTTTTTCAGTTTTTTCTCACTTTACTGGATTTTTATCCATTATTGAAATTTAACAGTAATAATAAGCACCAGGATCAAAAGGTTTCAAAGTGAATTCTATCAAATTATAAGGACGAGATCATCCCAGTAATACATAAACTGTACCAGAGCTCCAAGAAAGGTAGGCTTCTTGGGGATTTTACATTACAATCACAAAACTACAAGTAGAAACTTTCTTCTTACTTAAGAATGACGAATTTGATATAAACCATCATAAATGAATAAAATGAAGATGCAACCAACAGAATGAGAGAAAACCATTGCAGACTACTTGTCAGACAGGGGACTAATATCCAGGATTGACAAAGAACTTCAGAAATTCAAGGACAGCAAAACAAACAACCCTGTGAAGAAACAGGCTAAGGAATGAGCAGACATTTTTCAAAAGAACAAACTCAAATGGCTAATAGACATGAAAAAATGCTCTGGCTCTCTAGCGACGGTTGCCACAGTTACTGGAGGAGGGTGGCGCTTGCTTCAAGCTGGTCCCAGGCTGCAACCCCAAACAGAGGCTGGAAAATCTGGTGGCTCCTGAGGCAGTGAAATCACCACTGCCCCAACGAAGGGTCGAAGCAGCCTGGCTCCAACTTCCCTGTTGGGGACTTTAAAACCCCCTTGCCCGACTCTTCCTGGCTTTTCTCTCCTTTGCAGCTCACTCTGCTTTTCTGCCACTTGGGGAAGTAAAGTCCATGACCGCGGTTTGCTGGAATAACGTCCAACCAGATTCTTTTCTATATTCAGTTGATGTATTCTTCCCCTGGTGGTAGCATAATCTTACACCTAGCTATTAGGAAAATACAAACAAAAAGCATTTTGGAGTTCCATCTAACTCCAGTGAGAATGGCTTACATTCAGAAATCTAACAACACCTGCTGGAATGAATGTAGAGAGAAAGGAACCCCCACTCCACTACTGGTGGGAGTGTAGGCTAGTGCAGCCACTATGGAAATCAGTATGAAGAATACTAAGCCAATTGAAAACTGATATGATCCAGTTATCTCACTCCTGGGAATACATCCAAAGGAAGTGAACTCTGCATATGAGAAAGTGACCTGCAACCTTACAATTTATAGCAACACAATCCAAAACAGTGAAGACATAGAAACAACCCAGATGTCACCAAAAAAGGAGTAGATAAAGAAATTATGGCACATCTACTCCATGAAATACTACTCAGCCACTAAAAAGAATAAAATGTTACCATTTCCAACAAGATTATCCCAAATAGAAACCATTGTGCTCAGTAAAACCAATCCCAAAAGCACAACTATCATATGTTCTCTCTGACAGGGAAATCTTCACGCAAAGCACAAATTAAATAGATATGCAGGTAAACATGTATATGCGTATGTTCTCATAAATGAATTATGTAATGCAGATTAGCATACCAGGAAGTGACGATACATGCAGTATGCATCTCTACTCCAGAATAAAAAGATTTCCAACTAAACTGTTAAATACATTTTGACAACAGGCTACTAACTTACTACCATTGTCTATACCTACAATGTCATGATACACTTAAACAGAATGTTGGTGTTGAGATTGTTGCTGAAGGATTATACTATTGTAATAATATGGGGGAAAACAGTAGGGAAAATGGGGCATAAGGGGATAATCCCTATACCTATGGAACTGTATCATCGGAAATAATATTTTTTTTAAAAATTCTGCCTTCTATAAACCTGTTAGAGCAGGGAAAAATTACTCCCAGTTAGATGCCAACTTCCAACAAGCATGATCTTTATTTCAGTTTCTCTTATACTATTCCTCATTTTCATCTGAGACCTCATCAGAATTGCCATACCTGACCATTTTAATTAGAACAACTTACAAAATCTCTAACCTGCTCTTTGTAAAATGAGACAGACAACTGCAGCAGGTGTCATCAAAGCAATGGACACAAAATGCCACTGCAGCAGAGATCACCAGCCTACCCAGAACACAGGGCAGGCTAAGTAAGGAGCACCCACTGCCATGGTAAGCAATGTCAGACCTAGTGATTGCAACCGCCACATAAAATTAACAATAAATGACTAGTTAATGATAACAGTGCATTGTAAAGATCTTCAAAACAAAAGAATGTCTTGTGGCTTATTTTGGGAGTTTTATGCAAAGCAGTTCTAAGTTCTGGTTTTTAAAAGCAATAATGCTCAGTAACAACTTGACAAAAAACCTGTCACAGAATTTTAAAACCCATTAAAACAAAATTGAATGGGAAAAACACTAAAAGAAGTTTCAGGCTTTCCTTATAGCTTCCTTCTTCCCTGATGCTCCTCTCACAGCAGTACAGGCATTTGCAAGCACTCACTATAAAACCATCCCTTGTCCTTATCCATTATCCAGTTCTAATGCTGTTCCACATTTCTAGGAGTCTGTCATAGCAACAATCTCACTTCTGGCATCAATATTTAGTTTCAGTCCATTTTGAACTGCTGTAATAGAATATCTAAGACTAGGTCGTTTATACACAATAGAAATGTATTCTCGTGGCTCTGGACATAATGTACAAGTAGTCAGGAGCTAGCATTTAGTGAGAATTTTCTTGATGCATTTTCCCATGCAGAAGTTGAGAAACACAGCATAAAAGCCAGGGAAAACTCCTGCTTTGATAATGAATCTAAACCAGCCATGGTATTCATCTCTAACTCAGCCTTCATGCCCAGATTCCCGGGCATTAGACCACCTCTCAACCCTATTCTCTTTGGGAATCAAGCGTTCAAAGCATGTTTTTTGAGGGACACATTCAAAACACAGCATAATTATTTCAAGAGCTGTAAGATATAAAATCTCATGGCTATCTCCACAGATAATAAAACACAATTTAATAAAACTCAGCAACTTTTCTAGCTTAAAAACATCTAAAAAATAATTTTAAAATAATCTTCACAAAATTATTTAATATGATCAAGTACAAATCAATAATAAACTAAATAATAATTACAGAATTTCTTAATATGATCAAATACATCTAAGTTCAAAAGTCAGGATAATCTCTAACAGGGAAACTTTTTACCCAAAAAAAACTGATGAGGAGCAGAAGGGGACTGATGCAGTGACATAGCAAGCTAATCTTCTGCCTAGAGCACCAGCATCTAACGTAAGCACCAGTTCCAGGCCCAACTGTTCTATTTATGATTCAACTCCCTAGTTATGGCCTGGGAAAGCAATGGAGATGGTTCAAATTCTTGGGCCTCAGCACCCATGTGGGAAACTCAGAAGAAGCTCCTGGCTCCCAGCTTCAGACCAGCACAGTTCTGGCCATTAAGATCATTAGGGGAATGAACCAGCAGGTGAAAGATTTCTATCTCTCAATCTATAAACTCTGCCTTTCAAATAAAGAATAAAGCTTTACCACAAAAAAAAAATCAAGGATGTTAAGGATGTTGATTATTTTCTTTACAGTTTAACATGGCCCTGAAGTTAACCAATAGCCAAGATTAAAAAAAGAAATCACACAGAAACT